CTCTTTCTACTGTTCTTTGGTCTCTGTCTTATATAGTTCTTCTCTTGTTCTCTACTCACTATCTTGTACACTGTTAACTTGTTTTTACTCTGGCTCTTAAACTAACTCAGAATGAGAGCTGTTCCGGAAGTGGGGCTTCTCTTTAAACTATCTCTTGTAAATTAGCGCACTTTCATTTACACCCCCTGTAGCCTAGGGCACCCCCCTAGCGTCATTTGCCCAACAATGGGACTTTTAGGACCTAGCCCACGCGAGTTAGATTCCGCCTGACGTTAAATAGTAATAAATAAATAAATAGGGCTTCGAGACCTCTAGGCCACCATGTATGTCTACACCATCTTCTGATGAATCAAATCTTCATTTTTAGTTAACTAAACCGCAACTAGGGAGAGCCAACAGAGGCTCGTGAGCTTTCTACTTCAGGCTAGCCTGCTCTGGGTCAAGCATTGTGGACCCTTTTTTGTAGTTGAGTCGTTCCTCCCTCAACGACATCATAATGAGCTGGTGGATGGAATTTGTACTTGGGAGTCGCGGTACAGATCCTGCTGCCTAGGCAGTGAATATCAAGACACCTCAACTCGCAGCCTCCGTTAGAAAGTAGCGAGGTTTTCCAATTGTTCCAGGTTGGAGTTAGCCCCCCAGCAAATTGAGAGGGTGAATCACGTGTTGTCATACTTGCTTAGACCACGGGAGGTCAAGGCTGCAGGCGTACTTTTTCCGGACTTTTTGAAGGCGGAAGGACCAAAGGGAGGAAAAGTGCCAAATTCCATCAAATTCTGTTGATTTGTCACTACAAGTATTCCCCAAAGCAAACTTGAACTTCCAATCAACACAAAGATTTCGACCATATACACAGACTGTCCAACGAAACCCTTACTGTGGGGTGAGCTTTTCGTTCATTCTCTTCAACTGAAAGTGGATGTTGTATATTATTTGTCAAAATACAAGTTGAACAATAGATCAGAAGATGAACCTTCGTTCGGAAGTGTTATCAATTCTGGTGTCTTGCTAGCGCATATCCTCCGAAGAAAAACTTACACTCCAATAAATTTCACTCTTTTTTGCCGGGACTTTTGTCCTATTCAAACAGGTACAACGAGCTCAGACCTCTGCAGACTTTCGTCCAATACCAGCTTAAGCAAATGGTCTTAAAGTGGTACAACAACTTAGGGGCTGATCAAATACCGCCTTCACCCCTGCAGCTCGACACATCGGTTTTCCTCATGAACTGAGATTTGTTCCCATCTCATCATAGAGATATTTGCGTATCTTTCTTCAACGCCTTCTCGGAGATATCTTTCTAATAAAGTATAACAAGACTTGTCATCACTTGAGGTTTTTTTGGCAAAGCTCAACTTAGTCATGTCAGTATTATTGACTCTTTCCGTCCATCATTCTTTCACAGAACTCTAAAGAATGAAATGCAATAGTGCTTGTGGAAGGAGGCAGAGTTTTGTCCTTCAAAAGCCTGTTACGGGTTACTCCCAGAACTCCATTCTGCATAGCTTCAGTAAGGGTCACTATTAGTATCACCTCATCTCATACGATTATTTATGGCCCAAGTCAACAAAGGTTACATTACGCTTCTCATCTCTGTCCTAAATGACCTGATTACTGCAGATAAATTTATTCACTGTGGCTGTTTCGTGCCTTACTTCCGTGGATCCAATTTCATCTCAGCTATCACAACCTGTTACTCCCTTTTATCGTTTCCTTCTAACAAGTTATGTGACAAGTCATATGCTACGTTCAAAACACGCGGCAACGATTGGGTCTCTCTTATAGTGCTACTTGAATTGAGTTTGATTCGTTACGATATCTAAAGTAGAAGTCGACGTTAACGTCGCATTCTAATACTGTATCTTTTGTCTTACGGAGCTGTTATACATTTTTACTCGCTATCCCCACAAAGGATGTAGGGAAGTTATCTTAGAACTCAGAGGACGATTTCATCTAAACATCCATTGCTGACCCTTCAGTTGCAATTGTTTTACCAAACTCATCTAAATCCACATCCCTTAGGAATATACGACACATTCCGGCTGCAAAATGAGAGGTCAGAACCGGGCCCGGTTTAACCTTCGAAGTGACTTTTTGCGCTGAGATCCTCCAAGGAATACATTGATACTGAGGACCGTATTGAATGTTGAAAAAGATATGGGACCTTCCCCAGTTCCAATTTCGGTACCGGTGGTGAGCAGCCGAGCCAAAAAAAACAGACTTGTGGAGAAGAAGTCATCTCTAGGGACAGGATGAGCGGGCAATTCTTCGAATGAAATAAGAATTTAGGCAATAGGAAGCTTACCCAAGCTAGAAAATAAAATGCCTTCTGACTCACTATGCTACCAGCTGCTAATTTGCCCGACACACACCTCTTACGAGTAGAGGTATCATGATGTCTTACGTCAGTGGGTGGCTGGTGGAGCTGTTGGATATGTGAAACATTGTGATACCGCAAAATAGAATGGCTAGTGGCCGTACTTAGCTCATTCGGAGGTATTTTGAGCAATCTATATGAATTTTCCGAATTGCGACAAATGAATTCAGCCTCTTTTCGAGGGTTGGCAATTGATATGTTTTTTTAACTATGGTAAAAACTGCCCCCAGAATGACTAACGAACAAAGGAGACTGGTATTAATGGTTTACATGAGTGGCTAGATTTATGCTTTGAAGCTTCGGAACGAACGCTTTTGAACCTCTGGCTCATCATCCTTTTCGCACTCCTCCTCGGAAGTAGTACCAGTCTTACCAGACAAACCCAAAGAGGCAGCACCCTTTTGGATAGCAGCGAGATGGCTCCAATCGTGGGAGTCTTCTCCTCCAGACCATGCCATGACACCACCAAGACCTCGTGCCTTGATGATAGTCTCGAATTTCTGGGCAATGAACTCAGGAGTATCCCAGGTCCAGAAAATGTTATTTGCGGCATCAAAGTAGTATTGGCCACCTTCAACAGTATCGGCCTTGCCATTTGCCATAGCATCACGGAAAAGAGCGGTAACGGACAACTGGGGGCAAACACTGTAGTCAGAAAGACAGTTGATACCACAGTGAGCCGGGGAGTTTCCACAGAAACCAGATGATGAGCAGCAGTTTCCTGCCGAGCAGAAGTGGCCGGCCGCAGCACCACAGCTTCCATCTGGACTCTCGGTCAAGTTTGCTGCTGCAGTTGCGTAGTTCTCCTTCTCGAAGGTCATGGCGCCACTCTTTCCAGTATCAGAACCATCAGTTGGGTTCTCGAGCAACACGGTTCTGCATCCAAGACCAGTCTCGCAAGGGAATGCTGGGTCGGTGGTGAAGTATTTGGCGTAGAATGCAATTCCAAGATTGGTCTTCTCAGCTGGAAGGGCAAGGACGTCCAAGTAGTAGTCAACGACATCTTTGCTATCCTTAACACTAGTATGGTGTTTGGTGATATTGTCTCGGCGGTTCATGATGTCGTATGTCATGATGTTGACGAAGTCAGATGACTCCCAGATCGCAGGGGTCTTCTCTGGAGTATAGGCGATCATGTCAACTTTCTTTCCGGGAACAGCAAGGGAAAGTTCTTTGTCTCCGATGGCCTGCTTGATGGCCTTAAGAAGAAGAGGGTAGGTCTCAATCTCATCGACCTTGCCGGAGTTTGGATTTCGCAGGTAGTCCTCTCCATTTCCTGCTGGGTATTCCCAATCGCAGTCGACACCATCGAATCCCAAGCTATTAAGCATATCGGCAACGTTGGCGGCATATGTAGCACGGGATTCCTCGGTTTTAGCTCCTTCGGAGAAACCAGCAGTATCACCCCATCCTCCAATAGCAATGGAGACTTTGGTTCCTGGATCGAAACGTGCTCTCATTGTTTCGACAGGCTCAAATGGTGTGTAAACACCTGGTGGTGAAGTTGTGAAAAGGGATGAGTTGGCGAATGCCATGATTACATGGTCGACTCCGGCAGCCATAGTCTTGTTTGGAAGTTCTGTAAGATGATATCTAAATTTTATTAGCATGGCTTCGCTATCAACTTCCTCCAAAAATAATACTCACTGGTCGACATAGAGTACGTATCTTGCGCTAGCTGTTTGAGCGGCTGCGAGGCCCAGCGATGCTGCTGTGGAGAACTTCATGATGAGAGTTGAAAACAGACGAACTAGACAATAGAAAAGTAGTTCTACAGGAAGAATTCGATTAAAACGTCAGAAAAGAGTGACAGCCTTTCGTAGCGAATGCTGAAGAAGCAGGAAATCGAGAGCTGGCGCAGTCTTCATATATACGCTTTCGACTTGGCACTCCAGGGTAGATTCATCAATGGCGGAGCCATTAAAGTTTCCGAACGGCGGCAGGTACGAAATCAGCCATCTTGGCCCGCTTGGCTCGTCAAAATAAGGCGATGTCATGGATATATCATCAAACTTGTGAACCTTTCTAGATGTTCATGCCAACAATACAGGTCTTGATTGGATTGGGCCACAAAATTCTGGAAGAGCAACGAAGCCTTACCTTAAAACCCCTTCGCATAAACGTATACAGTAGAGTTGCAGTATCTAATAAGCGATATTACGCAGATGAAAAGACGCCGCTTGAGGCATAATAGTACTTCTAAGAGGATGACGAGTTTGAATTCATGTCTAGATACTCCTCCTAGCGTCAGTTTGAGTCCACGTTCAGCTGATGTTGTACCATGGGGAGGCGAGACGTGCGCGTACAGGATTCAAACCGTGCCCGCTGCTTTCGCCACAGATGATTTTCGCACCTGTCTCATGATTTACGCGGGTAAGGTATCCTGGAGATCAAACGCCCTGGCATCTGCGGAGATGAAGAATAAACTTTAAATCAACAACCTCCACTAAATTATGCCAGGGGTTTTCCAGGGGAACGGGTGAGAATTCTTACGAGTGCCACCGAATATTCTACACTAATATATCGTGTTCGCGATGATTTTCGTGCTTGGTTGTGTAAGCCTTCCCAAAATAGATACAAAAAGTGCGATGTATATCTTCACAAAGGATACTCCCAGTCTGTAAGAAACTATTTAGAAGCCTTAGTGTCCTACCAATCACATGTCACCATGGTCGCGAAATACGAATTCCTGTACTTCTAACTTTACAGCGCTGAGAGTGGGTTTTCCCCGCGTCAATGTTCGCCCCATACTCGTATACTTCTACGAAGTAGTTGTGAAAAATTGATCTCGAAGGTTTCTGACCGACATGATGATACGAAGTAAAGGGGAAGAGCTCTTGATTTGCTTGTCAAGGTTGTTCCTTGGGCTACCACGCGAACCCTTATTCCTTAGCAACGGCAGTTGGGCGCACTTCAAGAAAACCCCGAACTGACCAAAATTAGCCCTTGTTTGCACCTCTCATGCACTGTTTGAAACCTTTGCCCTTCTGCATAACCTCACGATTCACACAGAGAAGTACTTCCTACACCTATTGAGTTGGCTGCCGATCAGTCACTTTTCGGGGAACTTTCTGCTTTACTGTAGTTACAGTACGCTTATAGTAGTTTGGGCGTAGTTTATCTTTAGCATCAACAGCAAAGTATGAATGATGATTTATCGCCCACAGAATGGAGTGATTAGAATAGGCGAACACCCTTTTAGAAGCCTGGAATTAGACGTGAAACCCCTGCTTATATCCAGTGGAAAAAGGGAATTCACATAGCTATGAGCCACGTGACCCGACCCCTTCCAACCTAGGTAACGGTACTCGTCGGGCTCATAAGTCTGAATCACCTAACACCGACATCGTTTCTACTACTACCTAAAATCTCTACTACCCTCAATATTAACTATACTTACGTAACTAAAACAAGCACCTAGTAGTTGTTAGAGGATGCGTATATAGTAGCTTCAGCAACATTTAGGAGTTGTGTTCTGTAAATTCTTGTTGTAAAAGCAACATCGGCGTTAGGTGATTCAGACTTATGAACCCAACGAGTAACCTTTGTAAGCTACTGTATTCCAGTTTGTGACATCATATGATTCCACAACCTCTATTTAACATAACTTTCTAGTGTTGCGGTAATTTCTAAAGTACTACATATCGATATACACTTTCCAATGGGTCGATTGAATAACAAAGTTAGCATCGTCACCGGATCTTCTTCAGGTCTCGGCCGTGCCATTGCCCTTGAATATTCGAAAGAGGGCGCTTTTGTAGTATGCGCCGACCTACGACCAAATGCGCGACCCGAGATACCAGAAGAATCGGTAATAAATACTCATGATCTTATCAACCAAACAAAGGGTCGTGCGATATTTGTGACCGTCGATGTGGGAATCGCAGAGCAGGTTGAAGCCTTAGTAAAAGCTGCGGTTTGGGAATTCGGAAGAGTGGATATGTACCACAGTTCTACTCAAACACCCATTCCTGAGCTAATGTCTGCATTCAGATTGGTCAATAATGCGGGAGTTTCACTTGAAGCTGGTAAACCACCAGCTCGAATCCACGAGACAAGCGAGGATGTTTGGGACCTGACTATGAAAGTCAACGCCAAATCTGTATTTCTTGGTTGTAAATATGCTATCGCGCAGATGTTACAGCAAGGACCACATTCTTCAGGGGACAGAGGCTGGATCATCAATATGTCTTCGGTATATGGTTTGGTCGGTGGAACCTTCACATGTAAGATCCCTTGAATTTATCTTGGAGCAAGTTTTTGACGAAATACACTTCATTAGGCAGTTACGCAGCCTCCAAAGGCGCAGTATCGAATCTGACAAGGCAAATTGCTGTGGACTATGGAGAAGCGAAGATCCACTGTAATGCCATTTGTCCGGGCTGTATGTAAAACTCTGTCCCGGGAATTTGCCTTGGAAGCTCATTCTTCTCAATCTAGACACCAAAACTGCGATTTTTGTCAACACAATAAACACTTCGGACAGTTCACACGCTCATGATACGCTTCAAGCACAACATCCTCTGAAGGGGATTGGACAGGTTGAGGATATTGTTGGAGCAGCAGTGTTTTTGGCAAGTCCAGATGCGAGCTGGATAACAGGTGTCTGTTTACCCGTCGATGGTGGGTTTACTGCACGATAAATCAATCATCTAGCAGAATCTTTCTCCTGCTCTCTGAACGGTCATTTCGATCTTATGTTATTTTCTCTAGAAAGATCAACAAGACAACACACTAGGACCAGAGTTCAGAGAATGGATATCGATTGGGCTTCGGTCCTTTTTTGAATCACGTGCCGACTCAATACCAGAAACTACCTATACTTGGCCATACGTGTGTATGATTTCTTGTGATAACTGCCTCAATCAGAGGGCTTTGTGAGAACACCGTACAGCGGAAAGTGGTTTATTCCCACCCTACCTAAGCTTTCTCTACTGTCCCGTGCTAAATATCCTTAACCAATTTTGATACTAATAATGTAGATTTTTGGCCTTCAGTAAATAGTTTTTGACAAAAAAGTCAATACAAGTTTTTCTCTATTTCCTTGTTGTGAAGGAAAAGCGAACAACACGATGTTGCTAAAAAAAAGATTACTTAACTTTTGCGGTTAAAAAAAGAGGCCTAAGCTCCTAACAGACTACTCCCCTGTGGATTTAGGAGATTTTCCTAGATTGGAACATATACTAGAGTGATTTTACCGCGGGGTTTTTATGATATAAACAACGTTTGTTAGTGTGCATATAATAAGTTTACAACTTTTGTTGTTGTTTTATAACCTCGATTTATGAACGATTTATTACACAATGAGCCATAAGATTTGTGCACATCTTTAATATAACGAGAATTCAAACACAAATCCAATACAAGGTGCCTATTCAAATGTAAATACGAGGTGTCTAAATAGGTGGCACGGTTACTAGAAACCCTTAAATCGATTGCATTATGTGGGTTTTTACATAATTGGGTTTTTTTATATTTAACAACACTCGGTCCCCTCCTGTCTCCACAAGTTATAAAAGTGTTTTTAGCACGGATTTTGTCCACTTCTTAGAAGGTGCGCTCGGACGTTTATAATTATAAAAATTCGTAGCAAAATCACTCTACTGAAAACTTAAGTCAGCAATACTAAAACCTTCACAAAAGTTTTTCAAATTTGAAAAAAAGATAGCATAGAATGGGGCGGGAATCTCAATTAGCCCGGAGGAACATAGAGGGTTTCTTTGATAACAAATTAATCAATTCAAACTTCAATCAGAGGAGTTGGCTATGTGAAACTAAACGGTCTATATTCCTTGTATCCGATGTCAGAGCCCTGGGTACAGAGCCTAAGCTAATTTGTTTCATACCATGTAAGGAAAGATTATTTTACAAAGTAACCCTAAGTCATTTAAGATAACAAATCTGACACTAAAGGATTTATAAAACCATATCTAGCATATCTGTTTTTTAGTACAAGCTCTGAACTAGAAAGATTATTACCGTCAAAACTCAAGAGAGGATGGTCTAAAGTATAGCCAGGGTAGTGCTAATCACCGCAAAAATCATGCAGTAAGTGCTATAAAAGGACCCCGACTTAATACTAAATCTCTTTAAAATCTATTTTTACTCTACATTTAAGTGTAATCCAAGTACTGACGTACCTACTAAGCCGCTCAAAAAGGAATAGCAAGGGCGCTCAGAGGGGATTTCGGTGTGGCCAAGGCCAAAGGTCCCCCCAAGCACCCTCCCGGCTACACTTTGGACCATCCTCTCGAATTTTGACGGTGGAGTCCTTACTACGGCGACTAGTGAACCCTTAAATAGAACAAAACTTTGTCCCAAGACACAGAATCGGCCGGAAATTGATTATGTTTCCACTCTATGTTAATTTAACAGTTAATAAGTAGCATTGGGCTTAAAATTACCTTCACTTTTATAGTTTCACCATTCTAAAGACATAATAAGACCTCTGCTGTGTCAAATTCGGTGACTAAGAAGTAATTCATTTCTCGGCTTCGTGCTCCCAAAATAGTTGGGAAGTTTAGAAATTTCAATAACTGCATTTTCTTCTTTCGTTCTAAATCATGATTGAGTCACATAAAGAGGCAAGAGGGGATCGTTGAATAGCACTTGAAATTACACAGTGAGTTGTTGGCAACGCCCCATTTTCTGTTAGAAAATAAATCTATCTTCTAATACAAGACCTCGGGCTAACTCAAGGAGTGTAAACAGGTCTTTCAAATTTTCAATCTTCATCCTTCCTCATCCCTCACATCAACTTAAAGCCAATTCGCGGTAACCGATCGAACCCCCAGGGAATATTCCCATCAACAATGCATTACATTCAAAGTTCTGCCCCATGACTACTTTGTAATACTTATTGACCTAACAAAACCTGGCAGTAACGACGTCCTGCCCATAAGTTCCTTCCTTGCCTTGTAGATATACGGCAGAAGCCGCATAACTGCCACAGACTTGCGAACCAAGACCGACAAGATTATCCTACACCATGGTCAGTTTCAGCTTCATCGATCTCTAACATCACTGATCAGAGATTCAGATGCACTCGGCAAATGGAGACGAGAAGGATAACACTGCCTTGCTCAGGAAAGGGCGTGGCAATCCTCTTTGAACATCTAGGAAGTGAAGCAAACACTACTTCAAGAATACTCACTTGTATCTCCCATGTATAACAGGTATTTGAGTGCGAATAATGGTTACAAAAGTACGCAAGTGCCTGCCCCGACTTGGCCTAGTAAGACAGATGAGCGCCCATGACGCCGCCACTGCCACATTGGGATTTAAGGTTGCCGACAACCGCATCGGTATCCCCATGGTTGAGATCTGTTGGTTGTTAGTTTAAAGGTGTGTGACAGGTTCTGATGCAGAGGTGAGAATTACACTACCCTGGGCAACTTATTGTGATGTCGGCACGAGAAAGCAAAGCTGGTTTCGGAGAAATTGCACTGTTGACAAGTGCACGGCGCTCCACAGTTGGCGGCTCGAGTAATTCGTGGTGGGCAATACCGGCTTCATCGACACTGACAGAGTAGACGCCATCGGGTTGATCTGCAGGAACTGTCCAGCTTGCTTGAATGCTTGCTGCTGCGCTAAGGAGGAGGAGGAGGATTCGGGCTGTGAATTGCATTTTGAGTTTTGTTTAAATAGACCGGCTAGATATAAATGAGAATACAACTATATGGGAGTTTCGATGAGGGGATGAAACGATTGGGGATGATTTATTGTGGTAGGAAACCTGCTGGACTTTATAGAGAAATGGCGGCGTGTGAGGAAGACTGCGGAAGATTCCCTTGTGGAATAACAACTCGTTAAATACTAGAACGCCAGACGTTGGCTATCCCATTTCGTAATTGGCCGCATACTGCGAATCGACATTCAATGGTTGTGAAGACTGGAAGCGTTTTGGAATGGGGTTTTTTTTTCAGTTTGGGGAAAAGTCGCGGGTCAGGCTGTGCATTGAATCACACTCTCGACGAATGGAAGATTTTAATCTAAATGGCTTCGAGCTTCGGTGGAAGTTCTTAATTACCCGCTTACAGCATGCAAGCTAATATTGAATTGGAAATTAAGACGGGGTTGTTTAGCAAAATGAGAACTTCCTAGGTCACAGCACTCCAAACAGATGAGAAGTAAGTTGGAATAAATGATTATATGCAAGCCACATCTTACAAAAACAAACGAACAAAGCACAGGCGACTTTTTGATTCGCTCAGAGCCATATCTTTCCACTGGTTCTCAGGTACAGTACAACCAACTCAAAGCAGTCGAGTACCTAAGAGTTTAGCAATTCGTGGTTGGAGTCGCAATCTATTCGAACACAAGAAAAGCACTATCAAATCAGGTTTCTCGAGTATCTATAGTTTTCCAGCCACTCATTCAGCTTTCCCTCGACAATTGGAGGCCTAAATGAGAAATGTTCTTGCTGCTAGCGGCCAGGAGGTAAACCAAGTTATGCCAAGAAACATACAAAAAGAGGCAGGTCACTATATCCAACGATGCATTCACACAAGTCTGCATCAGTCAATAAAGGTTTTTGCTCGTCTATCTCCCCTTTTAAGCCTTCGCTTAAACTTTCAACGACCAGTTTCCCGGCTACAGGCATTGTGCATCAAGGGTCCAGTATGTGCGATTCGTCTTGCAGATATGGGTAACTGCTTACAACGCTACCTCAGTCCAAGTGAAGTACCGGTCGTTTATACAGAAGAAGGTAATTGGTGGATTTCGGATGTTCTAGATTCAACTGGACGGAAATTTCCCATGGTTTAATACACGATGATCGGGCGGGTATACCCTTGAGTATAAATTTACATAGAATGCCTGATCGATATTAATTGATATCCTTACTGCGCATGGGAAGGAATAGGAAGCTTGCATCAATGTGCAGCCATGAATGTGAGTCCTCCATGTATTAAAGCTACACCACACTATCACGTAGACCAAAACAATGCCTCGCTAGGACAGCCACTTCACTCAAACCACTCAAAAAAATTGAATGGAGACCAGCATAATTCAAAAGAATCGCAAATATATGTTTTCTCTCGAGATAATATCGCAAACTATCTAAATACCACCACAATACATGCATGCATAGCCTAGAATGACGATGCAAGGGATCTCTCGCCAATAAGAAAAGATTTCCAACCACATCTCACCAAACGCCTCCAGCCTGATCTCTAAAAAGACAGCTTTGATAGAAGACAAAGGAAATGTGAGAAAAAGGAGAAAAATTAGAAAAACGACAGAAGAAGACAAGAAAAAGGATCAGAATAACAACAGGTGATGAAAAAAAGAAGAAAAGATCAAGGAAAGAGAAAAGAAAAAGAAAAAACAGAAGGAAATCTAATAAGTACTCAATCCCCCAACCATCCGCCATGTTCCCCAATGTCCCCCGCCTACCGTATCCATCCATGCCCTGGTATATTTTTACCCCCACCAATTCCCAAGTTAACCGACCCCAATCCATTCCCCAGTTCCCCCAATCCCCAATGGTCTCTTTCATGCCCTCACTTCCCGTCCTGGGAAGAATGGAAACCCATAACTCTCGAATCCTTCGAACTGTCTCGGGTACTAGCATTACTGGGTCTCCTGAACCGCCCGCTTCCACCCGTCTCAGCCTTCGCGGTCCCCAAAATACGACTTCCTCTCGTCGACTGCGGACTCTGACCATTGTCGGGTGCATGTGCATTTTTATGCGATCCATATGAATGTCCGTGTCCGTGTCCATGTCCATTATCAAGCTCTCCCTTCTGAGCCGCATCCACCATCTCGCCAAACTTCTTACTCGTCCCGATGATACGCCCACCTATGACCATAAGCGCATCTTTATGTTTCTCGCCGATTCGGTTGCTCGTTTCAATGAGACGCTCAACGCTTTGATCGAGAGTTTGGATCTCGGTTTCCATGCGTGGAATATCGTATTCAGAAATGCCTCTGATACGTGTTCCGTTATCGTGAATGGATTCGTCGAGTTGAGAGAGAGCGGACTCGATTTCGCTGCTGATTTGGCGATTACCTTCGTAGATGACCCCCTTGACGTGAGCACCAGTCTCAAGGACTGCTTTATCAACTCGCGAAATGGCGGCAGAATTTACACGTACAGCCGTGCTGGTGGTGGAAATAGCGGATATGACAGACTTGAGGTCAGCAGAAAGCGCCTGGAAGGAGAATGAATTGCTGCTTTCAAGTGCTGTTCTGGTTGCGCCTATTTCAGACAACAATTCTGGTAGGTGGGTTGTTGTAAGGTCGGTGTGAAGGGTGGAAATCTTTGATTCGGTGGATGAGCTGAGGTTCGAGATTTCGGCAGTAATCGTTGATAGAGCAGTTGAATTGGCATTTGCTGTTTTACTGTTGCGGGTAGCTTCTCTGGACAATTCATCACCGACTGCTCGGATGGCCTCTGCGAGAAGGGCGGTTTCCCTGCTCAGTGAGGCTTCAACCTTTGACGGCGTTTCACCCACGGTCTTGGAGATATGGGAAAGCATGGTTGCGTTTTCCTTGACAGCCGTATTCATTTCTAGACTTCTTGACTGAGCGGACAATTCCACCTCACGAGTGATATCGATGACTTTAGCAGTTTCTGTAGTAAGTTGTGACAAAATTTGCCCACTTGTCTTGGTAACATGCTCCTTCGTATCGGATAGCTCGGTGACGAGGACTTCGGTAGTATTGGTGAGTCTTTTAACGGTATGGCCTATGTCAGTCAGAACTTTGGCAGTCTCAGCAGTATCCGAGGATAGCTTGTTGAGATCAATAGCTCGAATATCATCGCTGATCTTGGGGAGTTGCTCCTTGACAATGCTGCTAACGCCATCCCTCATTTCAGAGGTCGCTTTGTCGATGCTGGACAGTGTAACGGTATTATGCTCGATCTTCTCCTCGATTGCCTTACTATTACCCCGTTGCAGATCGCCATGTGACTTTACCAACCTCGTCAAATCTGCAACGGACTCGCACGTTTTGGTGGTTTCCGAGGTCAAAAGGGCATTTGTCGTTGCGAATGATACAGGGATAGCAGCAACATTTTCTGCAGTTCCAGCAGTTAATTCACGAATCGAATGCACATCCTCCTTCAATTGGTTCACAATAGTTTGCATTGGACCGAGATCAATCGATTTCAGGTCTGATCCCAAAACATTTGTGGAAGTTGCGAGCCTGGACCCGAGAGTATGTAGGTCAATCTTGAGATCAGACGCCACGTCATCTACTGAGGTAGCAATGCTTGATCTATTGTCAGCCAATTCTCGCTCCATGGTCGAGTGCAATTTCTGAACAGCGGCGTAGACGAAGTCTTCACTAGCTTTGACCTTGGTGTCGAGGGCAAGTAATGCATCGTACGTGCGAGCAAGTGCTGCTCCTTGTTGAGTGCCGTTTTGCTTGACGGAATTGAGATCATTTAACGCATGGGAAGAAGAGGTAGAAAGTTCTTCTCTGGCCTTCCGGATTTCGTCCTGAACATTAGGAATCGCAGTTGTGTGCCTGCGAACATCAAGAATGGTATCCTTAATTTGTTTGATAGAGCTCGTGTCGTCCATGACGTGTCGAACATTGTCGTGGATATCTTGTATCGAACATGTGTGTTGGCTCACAGTCCCATTGAGAGATTCAACGAGCTCCGAAATCTGCGAGTCCTGTTGTGTAGCTCGCAAGTCCTCCACCAATGATGTTAGAATTCCTACGTTAGCCAAAATTTTAGCAAATGACGAGTTGTCGCTGATGGTTTTGAGAGATTCAAGAACAACAACGAGACTGGCACAGTTTTTATCACTCAAGTCGACTGCGGTTTTGATTTGATGGAGTATATTCTCGGTCTTGCATTCCTCTGGTACTTTTTGAACCATGTCCCTAACACTCGAAATTTCACTCAAAATATCCTTCTCTCGGGACGATGATCGGAATTCCGAGACGGCAGTTTTGATCGCTTGAGCTTCCTCGAGTATTTGATGTTTATTAGATAGAGTACCATCGAGAATCGCTTTGATTGTGTGAGCAATGTCTGAAGTTTCGAGAGTGGAACGCACCTCTTGAATTGAGGTTGTGTTCGCCTCCCCTAAAGACTTGACGACACTTAAGCTAGCCTTGAGCTCCTTGTCGAGAGTATTGATACGATCTGTAACGCCGTTGACAGATGTATTGGTATTCTTTGCCATATCCAAAATCGCCGTGTCGGTGACTGCATCCTTTACGCGGGATAGAGTGGTGGAATGAGTGGTAAGCAAATCGTGAGAAGCGGAAACCTCGCCTTTCAACTCTTGAACAGCCTCAGCAGTGCTAAGCCGTTGTAATACGTTGGCGTGCTTGTTGGTTGCTTCAAGAACAGCGCTTAAAATGCTATGGGTATTCGCCGAGTCGTCTCTGCGAGAATCATGAGCACTAGAAATATCACCCTTTAACTCTGCAATCGAAGCAGAGGTGCTGAGCTGACTCAAACTGCCGGCATGTTTGTCCAACCCCTCAAGAATGGTACTTAACATGGCATGCAGGTCCCCAATGTCGTCTTTGCGGGCAATCGCCTCCGCGAAGTCGCCCAATGTCGACGATACGTTTGCGGCAGCGAGATGCGACTTTTCCAGCCCTCGAACTATTTCACCGGAACTGCTATGAATGTCTGATAAGGAAGTTGAATGCAGCTTGTTAAGATCCAGAATTTCGGACAGGGATGTTGCATATCCATAATAAGAAGCCTTCAAAGCCTCCAACCCTGGGAGGATAGGACCTACGGTCCCCTGGATGCTGGCAATGGCAGTGTGCGATTTGGCGACTGCCGCGTTCAAGGCTGAAAACTGTTCGTCGAGGATCTTGAATCGTTCTTCTTGGAAGGCTTTTGCCTCGGTATTCGAAGTCGTATGCTGCTGGCGGGATTTATTGGAGTTCCCCAAGGTTGATGTAATAATACTAGTTTGCGTTCGCATTTCGGACAATGTGCTCTCCTGCGCATTTTCGAGGTATTTTTTGGTTGCGTCAAGGTCTTGCCCCAGTATACTAAAATGATCAATTTGCGACTGCTTTCCGTTCTCCAAGATGGCAATTATCTCCACACTCTTGTCATTTTCCTTTAATTCTGACAAGAGGGCGTGGTGTACATCAGATTTTGTGATGACCAGGTCAACTTGCGATCCTAGAGACCTAAGTAGATCGTTTTCAGACCCTACTCGACTGCTGATATCTGCTAGGTTTGTGATATGAGCTTCATACTGCGACAAAAGGTCCCCAAATTTGCATCCTAGACCTGTGATAGCATCATTTCCAGAACCGACTTGCTGGCTAACAGCAGCTATGCTGGAACTGAGGGGCTCGAAATGGCTCGTTGTCTCACGGTGTAGTGACACGATGGCGCCATGGGCAGAATCAAGAGCAACGGAATGCGAAGAAATAGCTTCACTTGTCGAGGCAGCGATTTCAGAGAGTACTTCGAGGCTGTTTTCAAGCCCATCAATCTTCTCTATCGTGGCAGTCTGGTTGCTCTCCATCGCGGAAACAATCGAATCGATCTTGGAAGAATCCGGTAAAAGGGACAGATGATTGTGGATCATTTCGAGGCTATTCTTCTCAGATGAGAATCCAGTGTCGACTGATGACTGCAGGGCTGAAACGTTCGCTTTTATTGAATCCAGTGCGGATGTATCCATTGTCTTGATATTCTTTCGGACGTTCTCGAGAGCATCGTCCAGTGAAACAATCTTTGATTCGATGGATTCCAACTTTTCAGTTGTAAGGTCGAATTCCGAGTCGTCACAAACGTGCTCGTGGACGTCCTCTATCAATTTCCCCATCTTGCCAACACTCGATGCAAGATTATCTATTCTTGCATTGTTGCCGGAAGCGATCTTTGCATCCAATGACGCTATTGCTGCTTGAGTTTCGATGCTTCTTTTGATATCTGAGATAGCTCGGTCCATTCCATCTAATCGTCGTGGAATATGACCAAGGGGCGACAAGTCTAGTGCCGAAACTGTCTCGTGAATTGTCTTGATGTCTTGCTGAATGACAACCTCCGCCGAGTCCAATTTTGAGATTGCTTTGCTGACAAGGTCAATCTTCTTGGACAGATTTTCAGAACGTTCTCCGTCAGAAGTCAACTTGTCCTCAAATCCAATATGCAGGGTCTCCAATGAAGAAATCTTGTCTTGGGTGACAACAATTGCTTTTCGTATTTCCTCGCAGGCACCTACGACTCGTCTCTGTTGCCCTTCGATTTTTCGGCCCAACTCTCTCTCAAAGTTCCAAAAACGATCACCAAGGGTGGAGTTGCGATCCTGTAGCTCGTTCGAGATCTCACCGAAACGGATGGCAGATCTGAGGTCAGCATTCACGACTTCCTCCTGAAGGGCTTTGACCCGTCCGTCGAATTCCCGAACCTGGGTTTCAACAGTGCTTAGCCGACCATCAAATGCCGCAATAGAATCAGCAAGAGCTTTTTGTCCAGCCAAAAGCTCTTTCAGTACATTCTCATAATTTGGGATCTCGAGGTTGGTCAGGTGATCCAAAGCCGGCTGTAACATACGGGGGATGTTCTCAAGTTGGGTTTGAACATTTGACTCGAGATTTAAGTTAGACGTCTTCAACCGGTCGATATTCTCATGTTGCTGGGTCAAATGGGGTTCAATTTGAGAGGCGACCACGGCCTTGAAGACATCGCTGTTGAACGCGTTCAGGACGGCATCTTCCACAATCTTTTCAAAATTGCGGTTGGGGGGCGCCGATGGTGCAGCGGAGGCGGCAACAGAGGGGGCAGCGGAAGCGGCGTACGAAGTTGAAGGTCTCAAAACTGGAGATTTTGAGTTCGAGTTTGCTGTCGTTGCTGAAGAGATGCCAGAAATGGATCGATGCCTCTCCTTCCATCGATTAATCACACCGGCCCCGCGTAAAGACATGATCGATGGTGATGGATCAGAAAAGGCCGGAAGACGCCCCTGTTACCACGGCTGCGATCATGTATTGAGGAGGAGCTGGGGGGCCGAGTCTGATGCAGACTGTAGATCTGAATGGCACCAAGATACAGAACGGCGGTGAATTGATCGTGAGGAGAGCGTGCTCATGGTTTCCTGAGGGGATTCTTTTGTCGATGTTCCCCCCCTTCACTGTCGGTTTGTTTTTTTCTCACGCCGTACCCGACCCCGTACCCTTGCACCTGATTATCTGGGCATTTGCATTGCAGGTGAAAGCAGCACAGGTGGAGCCACATACCCTGCCAACTTCAGCGGTGGATCGACCCAACGTGGCGCATTGAGAACCGTGGGGAGAAGCCGTGATGGCGGTAATTCCATCCGATTATGCCAGTTGATGGTCATCTACTCGCCAGTCGTGAATAATAGCGACAGCACCTACTCTCCAAGGAGAGCCCAGCTTCTTCGTTTGTTTTCTTCACGTTAGACGACTCTTTCGCTTCGCTGGTCCACTATGCAGAAGCTGTTCAGGTGCATCTTCGTGCATTCGTTTGGAGCCGCGCATAATTCCGAGCTGGCAGGGATGGGATGAACATCAACAACGATTGCCATTGGCATGTGAGCAGGGACGACGTGCATCTCGATATGGGTCTCTTTGGCCACGACCCATTAGTTTGGAGTTTTCTGGTTTGCTATCTCCTTTTTCCAGAAATTCTAGAAGGCTAACTCGGATCCAGTATTATCGTGTCTTTGTTTTGTAACGAAAAAGAAGTGAAACTGGAATGGTGATGAGAATGAACCACATCCCCAGCCCACCTGCCCACCTGGGCATTTTGAGCTTGACACGTGACTACTTTCCTTTTTGGGGTACATACCTAAACACAAGCTACACTACTGTAGGCTCGCTACTGTAGGGTCCGTTCGCTCGGCGGAAAACGTTTTCATCCCATATTCCTGCTGGGTCTCTCCTGGACGTCAACAACGTTTTGATTTGATATCACATCTCTATCGGATGCTAAGTCAAACTATAAATCTTCTACCATCCGTCAAAGCCGGCGCGATGTCAAGATTCAACAAGTACCAAAATTAGCAGTGTCAAGGTACTTCATTTATACTTATCCAGTTGTACCATATCCTCTCTATTACTTTTCTGCAAGTCCTCTAGGAAAGTGATTACATGTCATGGATTGAGTGACATTCAGGGACTTGCGAATGGAATCGTCTTTATGCGAATCTGCACCTGACGTCATGTACAAGTATTCATGCTATTTGAAATGTCTCAATATTTCCCATATTCGAACTTCGCTTATGTAGGAGCCAGGATTATTCAGAAAAGTCTAGTCTTACTTGCACTGCCACTGCGGGATACCGTCATTCAAAGGTATCATACATCACGTTTTCTTCGCAAGAGACGTGAGTTTGATCAGTGGGCCCTTTGGCTCGGGGTTTCGCTGTCCGATATTCAATCCAATCCTTGAGGACATTCATTTTCACTGATACAATTACTCCATGGCTGGTCAGCTATACATCTAACTGGTCACAATCGAGCCCACGCATTTTTGACTCATTTGTACACCCATTTTCATCCCACTTCTACATTTACTGGATGAAACTCGAGAGTTTATGACACGCCACTCTCAGGTCACGCTGGAGAACGTATTGTTACCGATGTCTGTTTCCTAGCACAAGCTTGACAGCACAAATGGATCCTTTTCGAATTCCACGGCGCAGTCTCTCTACAATAAACAGGTAATCGTGACTCAAATATCACATGTTCTGATCACTATAAATTCAATCACTGGCTTCTGAATGTTCAGGCAGCGACTGTCTACTTGTCAAGCTACACGAGCACTTCGTTATCGTAAATATAATCTATGAAGACTTTATTGTTAACACGCTTCGGTAGACTGCTTAGAATGATGTCTAGAGAACAGCCATCCTCGCATCTACATCTCTTCTTCGTCATCGAATTTCTAGTTTGGTCTCACAATAGAAATCAGTACATCTCCCTAATCATTCCCTGTACTGAAGGGGAGTCATTCGACACGTATCATTGTCGCAACGAGTGAACCGTCAACTAACAACACACTTGTCTCCTATCACATCAAATCGCTGGTCCAAGAAACGGTTGTAGAGCTGGCGAAAGGATCTACTGTAACTTGCCTGAGAAGTATCTAAGCTTGGGAAGTAAGTCGATCCACGTCGCCGTCGCCAGCCTTCAAGCACAAGCTGAAATCCTGAGAAATTCCATAACTATCGCTAGAGCTATGAACAAATGCTTACTATAGTACTGACTACGGCATCCCAATTGTACCAATGCCTAAAAGCTATCTTATCATCGCGAGGCACGTATTCGTATAGGTCATTTCCCCCATTTTGTTGTCCGGAACGGAGGAGAAAAGGGGCGGGGCACAAGCGGGGGGAAACGATTGTTGTGCGTGTCCTCGCTTAATTACTAACCCCTATTACTACCTTCCTCAACAAGCTAATGCGCACGTGTCACGCTAACATTTGTTTGCTACCCACCTGTCCTCACTCTCACACTCACTCTCAGTTCTCTCGTTTTGTTTCTCAATTTATACTGGGAAGTTTTCCGGCAGCGAGAGATTATTGCAGTGAGCATACGTGCCAGCCACAGCTAGCGGCTCCTACGGCCTGGTGGTGCGAATGTGGTTGTTGAGCTTATGTGAGTGTGGGAATCGCGCACGTGTAAGATATATTAGGCGAGGAAATATATATGTATAAGTTCTCCGTCCATATTAGGAAGATACCTGGCGCGAAAAGGAATATTCCTACTTTCTGTCGCCTGCAAGGTTCAACATCTGGGCTGAATTCAGTAAAACCAGCACGAGTTTCCAGCCGCCTCTCTCCTGCTTTCTAAAAGTAGAGGTTCCTTAGATTTACGATTTAGTGGTCATAGGAGGTTGAGATCATCAGGATTTAGGATGCTATGGTTGTGTGTGTACGAATGTGGTCATACATGATTCATGATTATACAGTGTTTTCTTTTTAGAGCTTCTAAAATATCTTCTTCCTGTTTCCCCAGATGAGCTATTTCAACTTCTAGCCCACCAATATACGTGCGTGTTTATTTGGACGGTGAAAATCCATCATTGTTGGAACACACGACATAGAAATGAAAAGCCATTCGACTAAAAGTGTGTTTTCAGGTTCATGTGAACGGAATTGGCTCCTGGATTTTCAAGTCCACTTTCGAACACCTCTTCTTGATCCTCTTGGTGGATGTCTGGATCAGGAATAAATTTATCTCCAGATATTGAATCCGTCGGTTCTAAAATCAATGCTGGAGCAATTACTTTCATCGCATACCTCGTTTTTGTTCGAGTTCTTGAAATGCTGAAACGGAATCGATTAGGTCTCAAGTAGATTAAAGTAGACGAACTGGATTCGTCGGTCATTTCGATCAATGAGGTCAAGGAAAGATTCTTCCTCTAGAAGGATCTGGCGAAATAAATGTCTTTTACGTACGTCCAAACTATCCCATCGAAAGGAAAGAAAGACATGCCGGTATTCACTCGCCTTGGCCCTAGACTCTTTTTTACTGCAATCAGAAGAAGAAAATAGAAAACACGCATCAAACATATCTCCCTTCTAGCCTCAGCATGTACAAAAGAAATGCACTCTAAGAGGACATAATTAGGTGCGACAAATGGGTAGAATTAAGAATTAAAATACTTGGAATTATAAGCTGGTTGACCAAAGGGCTTTTTTTGATAGGGAGGTGTTATAACAGTAGACGTTCTTACTCTGCTTCTAGTGTGAATTTCTTTTGGAAATGCTGAGTCTGGAAAGGGCACTTATAGTGTGTTCTATATTAAGACGACCAACAAAGTAATATTTACCAGATATGCTTAAATATACTTCATGAAGATGGCGTTGGTTGTATCTGCCCCCTTAGTGTAAGTGCCTGTGTTTCATCATCTTTTTTTGTTTATGTCTAGGGAACTCAAATTGTTCTGTGTTGGGCGACTAAACTATATTACAACTCGTTTCAAGCGTCATTAGTATAATGGGCTGAAAATTTAGGTAGAGATGCAGAGGAATTAACATCTTAAATTCATTTTATTCTTCCATCCATGAGTAACGCAAAGTTACTCAAACTCCGTAAAACAATATTTTGGGACGGGTTCTATATTAAAGGAAGTATTCCTTTGGTGGCGAATATTTGTTTGTTCCTAGTTGTGAAAATCACTCTCATTTTCCTTTATAGACCAGCCGCTATAATATATTCTATGTAGGCACCAGAATTCAAGCTTCATAATCACAACTTCTCAGACATTGGGCTATTATTTTGGTTGTAATATATACAGCATACAAGTATTCAAGCTTCATAATCACAACTTCTCAGACATTGGGCTATTATTTTGGTTGTAATATATACAGCATACAAGTATTCAAAAAAGCTTTTGAGTAGAAAGATTAAATACTAGATAAAGTAAGTTTTTCAACTTTCCCATAATTCTACCATTCCACTTGCTTGTTGTGGCTGATATATTTGACAGATCCATACACTAGAACACTCATACGAAGAGTACTTTCCTTTTCCTCTAGCAAAAAACAAACAACAACATTCACGATAAGCATTCATTTGAGGCTTGGGAGAGTAGGAGAAACATTGAATTTTCACACAATCACCTCAACTCAACCTATAAACTAGATTAGACCAGACATGCGGGCTCAAGGCCAGCGGGTTAACAGAGAACCCCCAGTCCTCGTTTCCCTAATAAGTACCTTTACACTTCTTAGGAAAAACTGTCTGAAAACTGTATCTAAACGAAAACCAGTGAAAGCTATACATTAGGGGATAAGTTTATTTACACGATACTTGAGTACACAAGTTCAACTATCGTAGACTCAAGGTAGGTAAAGACATAACAAATAGGTTGAACCAGATGCTTGGAGAGGTAGCTTTGTTGGCTAAACGAATTTGTTTTAAGGGAATAAGGTTGTGAGTGTATTTAAACATACTTAGCCTGAAGGTATATGTTTTTGTTTTCTACACCTGTATGGTCTAGAAATAAAGGTCCCCCCCTACCTTTACCCTTCTGAACACGTTCTATAGACAACTAATAAGTGTCTTTTAAGATTCCCTATAGATGAACTATCCCACGTAATAGTTTTGTCTCTTGACTTTGCTTTCTTATACGTAATTCTACCACTTCTATACCCTATACCTTCTTATATATTATAATACTTATAAGTAAAAGTACTTTTATTAAGCTACCTAATGAAGGTTTAGAAGATAGTACGGAAATAACTTTACTACGTATGAATTTTATCTAGATAAAATGAAAAGAAAATCTAGCTAATATAAATTCCCTATCTCTAAATCTCATTAACCTCTAAAATAGATTAAAAAATGATCCCACGCTACACGTGATAGACAACCCCCACGTGACAACCACCAAAACCCCTCCCATGGATCATTACACTCGCAAGGTCCTCTACAAAAACAATCTCGCTACACCAACAGCCTTTCCAGCAAACACCACAAACAACTCCAAGCGAAAAAAATAAACCACATCAAAAATTATACAAATGGTATTGATCAGAGTGGGTTTCGAACCCACGACCTTTTCCGTGCTACAGCTTGTAAATGTAAAGGAAACGTGATAACCACTACACTATCCGACCGTTGGTTTGTTGTTGTATTCCAGCGTTTTGTTGTGTCATATGAAGAATTTTCGTGCGTGCCCCCTGAAGCGTGGGGTGGGGATGTCTCAGCACAAGAAATGGATCTGGAATGGACAGCACCTACGGCGAATAATCGGTGGAACTTCGGTTTTCGTTTGCGAATGATAGTTTGAGTAAGGACAAAATGGTTGTAGGGAATGTGATAAGTTGAATGTGGTTTAGTTACTGGACGTAAGATATATTGTGTCTTCTTTGTTTTAATTAGGAAATGTTTTACTATAAGAAAGAAAAAGGCTAGAGAATCTGAAGGTAGACTGTCGAATGAGCTGTACTCGAGTAAGAAGTGGAATAAGTAGTGAAGAGCTAGCTAGGGGGCGAGCAGGGCTCTAACATAGGAACTTTCTGTCGGCCTGGAAGTATACGGAATAGAACTAGCGCCTTCCATGGAAGATACTAGTGCCAGACAGCGGAACCAAGAGTGCCCGTGTCGTAACATAGATAAATCAAGATGATTTACGTTCACTTTCCAAAATCTATTTTCTAGCCTCAAGAGAAATAGATATTGGATTTTAATAAGAGACACTTTATATTTCTTACTATAATACTACGAGAGTTTCTTGAAAACATATCCTTATAATCTAGCGAAACGAAGTTACCTAGAACCTAGATATTTCTACTCTATAAGAAATACTTTACATCTGCCCTAGATCACTTTAACTATTTCTACTATACATTACAGATGAAGACATGAAACCTTTAAACTCCCGATCATAACAAAGAAGTAGTTTAAGTAGCGAATTCCAACTTCCCCAAATAAGATTCTCTCCATCTAGAATTCTTTCCCAACTTTACCTCTAAGACAACCGCCACGAATCCACGATGAATATAGAAAACATCATTTCTTCCTATACAACAACTCTATTATTAGTATAAGATCCCTCGCAATCCCTCTACCACCAACATCTCAGTCTCAAAAAGAAAAAAAGAACGTAAAAAATCTTTTTGTATGTAAAAGTATCGCTCAAGATTTACATCCCAGGGAAACAGGGAAAAGATCATTGCTTATAGCTTCTGTAATAACTAATAAGCTACTCCCCTAATCCACTCACACTTATAACATATTAACCTCCAATCTTCTCACAACCAACACCCGAATGGTACTTATTTCCACATAACCCAGTGAAAGAACCCACCTCTTTTCCTTTCTCTCCCAAAAATCCACTTGGTAATCTCCAATCCCTAGGTTGACTTTTTAGAAGCCCACTATTACCAGCCTCTAATATCTATACATCCTACACAGAAGAATACTGTAGTAACTTACAGTCAGAGAGATCACACACTATTCCAATCCAGTCCCGTCCATTCCATTCCATTCCAACACTCACACCAACAACAATTCTCCCCCCCACCAACCCTCTCCCTAAAAAACACCCATAGCCAAATTCCAACCACATAACTCAAACAGCCATCTTCCTATCCACACAATCCTAATGACGTACCACGTACTGTACCTCCACCAGTACTTTCGTAAAACGTAATTATAGAGTGTTATATAATATAATATAGCTACCCATCCAAATATCCAAATATCCAAAAATAAATAAATAGATAGATATCTTGGAAATCGAATATTAATTACAGAGTTAGAGTCAGAGTTGAAGTTAGTTAGCTCCTTCCCTTCCCCTTCCCCTTTCCCTTGTATTATTAAACAGATAAAAAAATATAAAAACTATAAAACTCATCTCTAGAAATTCAATACACTACCACCCCATCCACTTTCCCACCCACTTTCTTACCCAGTAATCCAGTTCCAGATTCCAGATTCCGAAACACAAACACAAACACAAACACAAACACCAAACCCCCTGCCCAAAGTCCATTGAAGATTCCTTTCTAACATGGCAAAGAACAGAACCTCTATACTCTAAACAATCCCCACCATCTCATTCCATCCCCAAATCCCAGCTCTCCCCCCCTTCTTCCCTCTTCCCTCTTCCCCCTTCCCCCATACCCCATACCCCAAATCCCAGCTCTCCCTCCCTTCTTCCCACTTCCCCCCATAC